TTTCGTACAATCTGGTCACACATATACTTGTCAGGGCATTTTGTATGAAAATTAATGAGGGTCAATTAAATGAAAGTTCAAGTTAAGAAGTAACAAAGGGGAGAGAAAGAATAAGAAATCGTCGCGTTATCTTAGGCCATAGAATGACTTGAGGATCACCAAGGTGAATTCAAAGTTACGACCAATTGTTTTTGTACACATAAGGGGTGCTTAAATTTACGAATAGCCAAGGCTTCAATAAACTTGGGAATTCGTTATTGACAATTTCTATACAACGTTCTAAAAGCTGTATTAATGTCAATTTTGTGCCCCGTTTCAATTATATGTTTTGCTATCGATAAACCTGGTTTTCTACCTCGCACGTTGATCGATTGATTTGACAAACATTGATTTTGAAGCCATCTAGGCGCATGTTCAATGACCCTTGATTGTATTGGGATGTGACGCAATCATTAGTGCACTGTTCGGATCTATTAGGAATCATTTGATTAGACTTTTCAATCACAACCAATTGAGCAGCATAATAGGTATTCTCGATGGCTGCGTCCTAGATTTCAGTGCTAACCACTACCCATCTTTGCGTAAAAAGCTTGTGACCTAAGACTATATCGAGGCGATTCGCACAGGATGCACAAATGCCAACATGAGACTGATCAATTGCAGTGTTCAATAACAATGGGAAGATACAAGTAAAAACAACACCAAGTGAATATATAGTTACCTCCTTCGAACTGAAGGCAGAGGATAGAGAAAAAGCTTGTAGATGATGGACGAATAAGAGTGTAGATCATGTTTGGTCAAGTTTAACTGTGCAATTCAGAAGGTTTAACTGGTCAAGTGTAGGACAGTAGGCTAATAGACGCGGGACAGAAGAAATTATAGTCGTAATTTTAACTGGTGAATTTAGCATTTTATATCGATTAGGGTCTGAAGTTATCATGTGAACAGTGGTCCCAAAATATCAGTGAAAATTCTGGCAGCATATTTTATAACATCAGAACTTCATCAGCTATTTGTATCCACACCTTAAAACATTATCCCATTCAAGTTTAATAAAATTGATCCCTTTGATAAATTTGGATAGTGTAAACACTACCTGTATATTAAACTTACAATAAAAATTTAATTCGAAAATATCTAGATATGGCATAATGGAAGAAAGTTTAACTTTGTAGTCCGACCCAATATTATTATCTGTATAAACAGCACCATGAAAGTCATAAAGGATGAATAACAATAACTGATTGGCAGATTGGGTAAATTAATGCTGGCTCAGAACCTTATATAAGTATGAAATAATAATACGAGAAAGCAAACAACGAACTAGTTGATCACATAGATCTAATTCCGGTCGGTCTAGCAGAAGTGTTAACTACCGGTCATATGGGAAATAAACCAAATCGATTAAGTGTCATAAAGTTAAGTAAAAATCACTATTATCCACTTACATTCCAATAAAATCTCTTTTAAATTACTTCTCAAGTAATCTACCTTGGGGTTAGACGCAAAATTACACATAAGTGTAGCAATTTAAAAGATCATATTTTGAACCTATAACGATGTAGGTAATTGAGTCATATGTTGACTATGAGATCATATCGCTTATCATGACGTACGATAGAAGCTTAACGCAGATTAGTTGAGTGAATAGAACAAGCAGACTTATATATTAAATGAGTTCACAAAGTCACAGATTGTTGGTCCATATTGTACACGTAGGTGAGTGACTCTTGTTAGTGTAAACTCTGGGTGACATGTTTGCTACTGATTTCAGAAATACAAACGCACTTTTTTCTTTGTTTAAGCCATGAATATTTCAACTTTTTTCTTGTCCTTTATCGAATTATACAATTCATTTGGTATTTTGTTAATTTTTCTGATTCTATCTGTTGACAACCGTAAAGATAGGAATCTATTTATTTTTGAGTGTAATTCTACATTGTCAAGTCTGTTTGTTTTATATCAAGACGGAAGGGTTAGTATAAGCTCAAAAGATGTAGGAAAAGGCCAAACAGTAAGTTTAAAAAAATAAAAACAAATACTACTGTGGTATGTGGTACTTATGTTGGCAGATATAAATAGTATGTAGCACCAGTCGGAAGTGGAATACCTGCCAGCTGAAGATTGAGAAAAATGAATTAGAGAAAACAGAGAGCAATTGTAATAGCAACAGTATTGAAAGAGTCGTGAAGCATGTAAAGGACAAATGAAATGAGATGTGCAAATAATGTATTCCTGCATCAATCTATTGTGATTAGGACTAAAATATTGAACAAAAATTTAAGTTTTTGATAAACCACTCAGTCTAGTTACTAAATATTCTAGTAATGAAGCTTTTAAATATTCTGAATTGTTCTTATTTTAACATAAATATGTCACATAGGCAAATGTCTATTCAAAAGTGACACTTCTAAAACTTTCTACAAATAAATTATTTAAAAGAATCAGCGCTACATTATATTCACCATTATGTTCTGCTTTATTAAGAATGAATAACTTCCAATCATTGTCCACCCAGTATTTCTTTAACATGAGTAAATATATTATAAAATTGTCATATTTCAATAACTATTATTTATATATTTCATTAACCTGTGAATGAAAACTTGTCATATATGTCATGATTGTGAAATTGTCATACTTAGACATTGTACTTAATAAAGAATGAATCATATAATTGTAACTGTTTTAATAACAGTCAATTTATGCGAAGTAATTTAAGTGAGATTTTTTGTACTGGACATTTTCAGATGTGAATAATAATGTCATGAGTGTTACCTATTGTAATGAATGAGTGGATTATTAGCTTAGACAAACAATAAACATTAAAATTTATTTGTTTAGTGTTTAGACATATATATATATAGGGTTAGGATAAAGTATTTGCCTGGAGATTATGTAGTAAGATCTTTGCTTCTAATTCTTCCCATTTCTAACTATCTCATATATTTGAATATAGTTGACAATGTTCAAGCAAGATATAATTTATTTGTCATCTATAAATTCAAGAATATAATTCTTAGAAAGGAAACCGTAAATATTTCAGTCATAAAATAATAAACAGTTTTAGCAACTGATTTTATTTTCCACAGTAATTAATTTTATCTATGATTCTTATTACTTTCTTTTCCAGACAATGATGTGTTTCTCAAGGAAATTGGGATTTCTCCAACTAATAATCATATCATTGAATGTATTTAAATTTTCTACCGGTGTTATGAGAAATCATATAAATGCTACAGTTGAACAGATAGATAACAATACACTATATCAAATATTGTCAGTTCAACGACATGTTGTAGTTTATTTCTGTAAGTAATAATTTATTGCCAATATATATGGTGTTCTTTTTTATGATCAACTGCTTTATTATTGCTCTAAAATTTTTAGCATTTATACTAAAGTGATAGTTTATTTACTTTTAAATCATTTTTATCTAACAACCGATGACTGGTTTTGATTTATAATATAAAAGCTCTGTTAGTACGTCCTTTGATGAATTCGCCTAGTGTAGCTAAATTCTTTCAATGGTATTGTATGATTGACTGATTGATAATTCCAATAATTGAGATCATGAGTCAATTGAAGCTAGACCACCATGGAAAACCTGGAAGCACTGGACGGCCGTTTCGTCCTATTGTGAGACTCCTCAGATTAAGGAAATAACTGACTAACCTTCACTCAATACGATATTCAATTTAATTGGCAATTTAGAAAGGTCTGTCTTAAGATAAATCTGACTTAAGTTTTTATCCAATTTTGTTTTCGCTTTAACAATTTTAGAATGACTCGTCCGAATAAGTTATGAATATAAGCATTAAGAATATCTTTCAAAATTATCCCCAAACAAAATTTACGTAGTTCTTCTATTTTAATTACGACAACTGGAGAACTTTTGAAAACAAGGAAACAGTAAAAAGCCAATATTAGCCTAGATAGAGACTTTTCTTCAGTAAGAAATTTTCATAACCTCACCATAGTGACGTCAATGTTTAATTTCTACGTGGATTTTGTGATTGATTTGGTAGGAAGCTAAATTTTTTGGATTTAGGTCGTTAATGAACTTAAGGTGAAAATGTAAATTGAACTATCTAAATATGTTGTACTAATTACAACATTTTAAATTCTTATGTCCAATTCCATCATATAATACAGTTGTGGATTTAAATTGTTAAAGAATTCTGAACTTAAAATAAATAGCTAAACGTTGCTATTTAGTTTTTAGTAGTTTTTTGATTTCATTTTCCTTTGTAGTACAAAATTGCTTTCATACTAATAGTTATTGAAATTTCATTGAATTGATTGTTTCTTCGTAACCATCACAATCTAATGTACACAGATGTACATAGATAAAAATCATTTCAGCAATTTAACTAAATCTTAAATTTATATTCTCATTTATAAGCTCAAGGAATCAGTTAAAGTATTGAAAAGTCAAATATGTTTAGATTAAACTTGTTGTTTCAATCAATCAATTAGTTTAGAGATTGATTTCATTATAAATTACCGTTATTTGAATCAGGATTTTTAATGGTAACAGCAATTAACTTTAAACCATAAGATAAATCTTTCTTAAATATTTGTAATTCTAAGCCTAGTAGTAGATGAAGTTATACTTAGTTATTGAGTTAGATATAGATAAATATAGAAAATTATTTACTCTATGTAAAATAAGCTTAGAAGACAGTCTGATATCTTGTAAATCATAAAATTCTTAACAGTAGATTTATACTAGTTTATGAATCCTCATCAATGGAAAATTATAAATTTCCTAAAACAATGAATCAAATACTTTTCTGTATGTCAGTTTCAAGATTTTGATTATTTTAAGGATATACTGAAATGTAGAATTATTTAAATCTGGTGTAAAGTAAAGAAACCTAATTGATAACATTGAATAATTAATAAGAAGAATATCTTATAAACTAAATACAATCAAACGTAATTACTACCTATCAAATTACATAACAATCACACAATAAGAATATACATGTCATAGAATGTATGAATTTGAGGTATATACAATTGAGGTGTATGATAATAGTTATTCATCAATGAGATTTATTGACCATTTGATGAATAGGAAACCAAATGAAGTTCAATTCAATTATTTAATTAATAATAATTATTTTACAATGTTTTTAGATGATCATGGTCATCAACAAGAATCAGTATATAAATTATTTAATGAAACATCCCATAAAGTAGATGAAACTATGCTACCAATTTCAGTAGTTACTGTATGTGCAACCTTTTATGATGAGATTGAAAAGAATTTGAATATTTACGTAAGTATAGCTTTATTTCTATTTGCACTATATGCATATATGTATACAGTTTAATACAATACTAAATTTACTTATCATTCAATCTTATATATTTCTACTATGTTTTTTTACATATTACATTTATTAACGTTTAAATAATGAACAAATTTTATAGTTGAATTCATGAATCAATTAAAGATAGATCATCATGGAATACCTGGAAGCACTTGACAGCCGTTTCGTCCAAATATGGGACTCCTCAGCAGTGTGCATCAATAATCTGATTATAATAGACAAATTCATTAAAATGGGCTTAACTAATTGTTATTATCGTTAAAATTTCATAGATGTTTTAAACAATTGAAACTTACTTACTTACTTACTTACTTACTTACGCCTGTTACTCCTCGTGAAGGAGCATAGGCCGCTCACCAGCATTCTCCATCCAACCCTGTCCTGGGCAATCCTTTCAAGCTCTTTCCAGTTCTTATTCATCTCTTTCATATCTGCTTCTATTTCCCGACGTAATGTGTTCTTTGGCCTTCCTCTTTTCCGCTTCCCTTCAGGATTCCAAGTTAGCGCTTGTCTCGTAATGCAGTTTGATGATTTCCTCAATGTATGACCTATCCATTTCCATCGTCTTTTCCTAATTTCCTCTTCAGCTGGAAGCTGGTTGGTTCTCTCCCACAAAAGGCTGTTGCTGATGGTATCCGGCCAATGGATATTGAGTATCATGCGTAGACAGCTATTGATAAATACCTGTACCTTCTTGATGGTGGTTGTTGTAGTTCTCCAAGTTTCAGCTCCGTACAGTAGGACTGTCTTGACGTTGGTATTGAAGATTCTGACTTTGATATTGGTTGAAAGTTGTTCTGAGTTCCATATGTTCTTCAGTTGAAGGAATGCCGCTCTAGCTTTGCCAATCCTCGCCTTGACGTCTGCATCTGAACCTCCTTGTTTGTCGACGATGCTTCCCAGGTATGTGAAGGATTCCACATCTTCCAGAGTTTCGCCATCAAGAGTGATTGGACTGCTGTTCTCCGTGTTGTGTTTGAGGACCTTGTTTTTCCCTTTGTGTATGTTGAGGCCTACTGATGCAGAGACTGCTGCTACACTGGCTGTCTTTATCTGCATTTGTTCGTGTGTATGTGATAGGAGGGCTAGGTCATCTGCGAAGTCCAAGTCGTCTAATTGGTTCTGAGCTGTCCATCGTATGCCGTAGTTTCTCTCAGATGTCGAGGTCTTCATAATCCAGTCGACCACCAGAAGAAACAGGAAGGGAGAGAGTAGACAGCCTTGTCTTACTCCGGTCCTTACTTGGAATGCGTCTGTCAGCTGTCCTCCATGCACTACTTTGCACTGTAGTCCATCGTATGAGTTCCGGATAATGTTGACAATCTTCTCAGGAACTCCGTAGTGTCGAAGAAGTTTCCATAACGTCCTCCTATCTACACTGTCAAATGCCTTCTCATAATCAATGAAGTTGATGTAGAGTGACGAGTTCCACTCAATTGATTGTTCGACGATGATCCGTAGTGTCGCAATTTGGTCTGTGCACGACCGGTCCTTACGGAATCCAGCTTGTTGGTCTCGAAGTTGGGCGTCTACTGCGTCTCTCATCCTATTCAGTAACACTCTGTTGAAGACTTTACCTGGTATTGACAGTAGTGTAATGCCTCTGTAATTTTCACACTTGCTCAGATCTCCTTTCTTTGGAATCTTGATGAGGTGTCCTTCTTTCCAATCCATCGGCACTTGTTCCTCCTCCCAAATCTTCTTGAATAGAAGATGAAGCATGCTTGTAGTTACTTCGATGTCTGACTTCAACGCTTCAGCTGGTATATTGTCAGGTCCTGCTGCTTTCCCGCTCTTGATTTGTCTGATGGCCATTCTGATTTCTTCGGTCGTTGGTCGATTGACATCTATAGGAAGATCTGTGTGTGCTGCTTCGATGTCCGGTGGATTCATTGGAGCCGGTCTGTTCAGGAGTTCCTCGAAGTACTCTGCCCATCTGTTGCGCTGTTGTTGAATCTCAGTGATTGGTCTTCCTTCTTTGTCTTTGACTGGTCTCTCTGGTTTACTGTATTTCCCTGCAAGCTTCTTCGTCGTATCGTAAAGCTGTCTCATATTTCCTTCTCTTTCAGCTTTTTCCGCCGTCGTTGCTAGTTCTTCCACGTATTTTTGCTTATCAGCTCTAATGCTCTTCTTCACTTTCTTGTTTGCTTCTATGTACTCTGCTTGTGCTTGGACTTTCTCTGCTCTTGTTCGACTGTTGTTAATTGCTGTCTTCTTGTTCTTTCTTTCTTTGATCCTGTCCAGTGTTTCTGTAGAGATCCATTCCTTGTGATGATGTTTCTTGGGGCACGTTGAAGTTAGTGTTTCTTTGATACCTTTCCAGCTATCCTCCATAGTAGTTTCTTCTTCCTTCAGTAGATCCTGTAAGGCTTGGAACCTGTTGTTGAGAGCTACCTTGAATTCATTGAGTTTGTCAGTATCTCGAAGGAAGGCTGTATTGAACCATTGTGGTGTTGTTTTTCCAGTTGTCCAGTTCTTCTTTAGCTTCAGTTTCAATTTGGCCACAACTAGGTGATGATCTGAAGCTATGTCCGCTCCTCTCCTGGTTTTCACATCTTCCATTGTCCTTCGGAACTTTTTATTGATGCAAATGTGATCTATCTGGTTCTCTGTGGTGTGGTCCGGTGAGATCCACGTAGCTTTGTGTATACGTTTGTGTGGAAATGTTGTACCGCCTATGACCAATTTATTGAATGCACACAGATTTGCAAATCTTTCCCCGTTTTCGTTTCTCTCTCCCAGTCCATGCAGTCCCATGATGTCTTCATATCCGGTGTTGTCCATTCCGACTTTGGCGTTTAGATCTCCCATCAGAATGGTGAGGTCCTTTCTTGGGCACTTCTCTATGATTGATTGCAGCCTCTCATAGAATTGATCTTTAACGTCGTCGTTGCTATCATTGGTAGGTGCATAACATTGGATAATGTTCATTGTGATCCCCTCCTTCTTTGTTTTGAATGATGCTTTGATGATTCTGGATCCGTGAGATTCCCATCCTACAAGTGCATTTCGTGCTACTTTGGATAGCATTAGAGCAACTCCCTGAGTGTGTGGAGCATTTTCCTCTTCGTGACCGGAGTATAGCAGCATCTCTCCCGTATTTAGCCTTTGTTGTCCAGCTTGGGTCCAATGGGTTTCACTGATTCCCAGTACTGCCAAGTTGTATCTCCTCATTTCCGTTGCTATTTGACTGGTCTTCCCGGTCTCCCACATTGTCCGGACGTTCCACGTACCTATAAAAATTGTTGCTCTGGTTGTTAGAAGGGGCATCGGCCTCGTGGCTTCCGAAGGAACTCGGCTTTCACCATGAAGCGTCATATTACCTCTAACTCCCTGGGCAGGGTTTAAATGGTTTGAGTTATTTTTTCTGGTTAGCGTTTTTTTAGCGAGTTTCTACGGGATGGGGACGCTAACCCCATGCCCAACCCTCCTCCTTTACCCGGGCTCGGGACCGGCAGTAATTCTGGAAGCGTTACAGGCGGAGTTAAACAATTGAAATTCTACCTACAATTAAAGAATAAAGTGATTTTGAATTATTCTTATTGTTAAGTTACTAGGACATAATGTAATCTGATTACAAGAAATATTTTAAGTAATAGTATTTTTATATACATAAGATTGATTATGTTAATAAGATATTAGTTCAACGGTTTACTTGAGCCAACCAACAGTCAAAAGTTTTAGTTAAGGTTAGTACTAATACATAGTAATACTCTCGTATATTTTGAAAAAAATTGGTAGCTATCTGGACTTGATATCTAGATGGTGATTGGAGGTAGTCGACAGGAAACCCTGGACCCGGGTTTCGTGCTACTTGGCACTCGTCAGCAAGGTGTACCTGTAATCTTCGAGGGAACTGGTGCTCCCTGGCGGATTCGATCCCGTGTCACCCAGCTTCACAGTCAGAGACGTTACCACTGAGCTATCCCGGCAGCGACCGACCTCCTGTAGGACTGAGATGTAATCACAATTGATTGATCACTGGGTGACCAATGTCATGCGTGTCTGCACTAATAATAAGGACTAGACACGCATGACATTGGTCACCCAGTGATCAATCAATTGGGACTTGATATCTTATTGGATAATTCATTTGGTGTTTGAAGTGAATGACATTGGGTTTGAGTCCCAGAGTAAACGTCAGCATAGGTGCAGGTACATTCAGTTGACAAGTTCCGAATAGGATGAAACATATATCCTAGATTTCACCAACAACCAAAATTAAATACAATAAAGCCACATTTTTTTTGTTTTTCATCTTTTCATGGTATCGTTCATACTTCATAGTATAATAAGTATCTTTTTTATGATCATAATTATATTCCAGGTAAGAAGTAGACTGAAGTTTTTCTAAGTATTTACTGAAAATAAGTTGACTGCCAAATACAACTAAGTTAATATTGAGAACCATAATGTAACAGAATCAAAAACAATTATAGAAAGCATAGAACATCCTATCATAATTAAGTTTTATTGTCAGTCAGAATGGTTATGTATTCTGATGAGTAAGCATATAATTTGCTAGTGATCATCTAATAGACTGGATAATCTATGTATTAAATTCTACTATTATTCATTATTGGATATGAGTAAGGTAGATTCATAAGTGTTACCAAGACATCCATATTAAGAATGTAGATAGTAATATCGTCTAATGAGTTTAATTCTACTGTTACCGTTAGCACGAAAACACCAAAAAACCTCCACCAATAATGCTCTGACTAAAAATACATTGAAGATAAGTCAAGAATCACTTGTAAAAGACTAATCTATCAAAAATCATTCTTTGTTCGCATAATCTGCTTTTTTGATAGATTTACTGACAGAATACAAGGATTAATAAGCAAACAGAAAGTACTTCCACAAGAGTTTATGAATTTTAATAGTTACTTTCCATACAATTGATTGTAGAATGCGAAAAACAGAAGTTTCATAACCGAGCAATTATTTCCTTATTATGATAATCAGATTAATAATATAATGATTATGTTGTCATCAGTATGACTTGATTACTTTGGTATGACTAAAGCAGTGAGCATTTATCAATTAGTGTTTATTATTTTTCGCTTTGTAACCTGGATTACTTTTCTATGGTGTTACTTATATATAAGTGATTAAGTTGATTTTTAATTATCCTAACACTGTGTTTTCGTTACTGGCTAAAGATAGAACATATGTTACATCCAAAACAGTAACATAATAAATGAATCCTGAATTAAATAAAAGTTGTAAAAATCGTTTATTTTAAACGAAATGTCGTAAAATGCCATTTTCTAGAAAACTGGTTTTAGTCAAGCAATATTCATAGTGTTCATATATGACCACAGTGAAGTTTGAAGTATAATCTAATAGAGTATTGAGGATTTTACGTATAACAGTTCCAATGTGTTCAAGTTCAAATAAAATGGTAACCAAAGACTTGTTGTAAACAAAGAGATCATTATCATATGTTGCTTTTTCTGAAGATATGGTGAACAACTAAATATTGTTTCTATAACTTATGGCCTTGTGCCCTATTAGTTTATAACGTAATGATACTACTAATTAGAGGACAGTGATTTATCTACTTGACTAATAACTCTTAAACCCGTACGAGCAGTCTAGAATCCTTATCGGTCCTTCTTCCTGTCTAGCCCTTCCTGTTGAGTTCAGAACATTAATCTAAGCCTCGATGATATGAATCATATATCTCCAACATACTGGGTTTATATGCAAACCAAACAGATCACATCACACCATAAAATAAAAAATAACGTTTGTCCAAGATCTAGCAAAAAGTGGCTGTGAATGTGGGAGACTATAATTAATAAATTGGGCATAACTGAGTATAACTTAAAGACGGTAAATCGTATAATAATAGTCTATGAATCGAAATAAAGTTTGTAATAAGAGGAGTATATATACACAATAAGAATATACATATGATATCAATTCTCAGAAGTTACTTATAATTTAATCTTCACTAGGATATAACAATAATATAAAATATTTTCTCATGTTCTATTTGTTTATTTTGTTAAAGATACCATCAGTTACATATTTTCGTGATGGTGGGAAATATAAATCCGAATATAAAGAATTAATGAAAATCAATGGAAATCATGGTAATCCAATGTATGAATGGATAAGACGAAAAATTGGTTCACCAATAAAATTATTAAGAAGTATTAATGAAACTAATGAATTTATTATGACCAATAATTTAGTTGTTATCATATTTATGAAAGTAAGATCATATATTAAATCATATATTTTTATACTATACTCATTGAAATTAGCCTATTCACATGTTAAATTGTTCAAAATAAACTCATCCAAAAATAATTATTGAATGTTAAACTCTAGCGATTAAATTACTTTGCAAATTCCAACTAGATTGTTCATATTCACTTGGTGTTGTTTATTTGAATCTTCCCACTGAGGTTTAAGACTGCAATTGATCAGTCTGTTATTGGCATATGTGCGTACTGGGAGTGTTGCCTCGACTGTTCATGTGACCAATGTTAGTAAACGTACATAATCACGTTCATCAAATACGTTAGACAGCAATTTGAGTTTTATTTCAGTAATATCCTAATTTCCGTATATAGTTCATATGCAAGAACGATATCATTCTTCAAAATCTTTTCGAGTTCACTTAGTCTTTAGTAAATAACAATAGAGATAATAAGTGTCATTTTATTCAGTATGTGAAATTATGACATTTTAATGTAATTAGGATAATCATATTTGGTTTTGATTAACAGTTATTCAGATGAATAATTGAAAACTTTAATATGAATGACCGAGATTCATTTTTGCTTAATTACCAACTAAATACTTTATGAGATAGAAGATTAAAATGCAGTACAATAGAATACCATATTTGCTTGGTAAGGTCCAGTTGACAGACTTATTCACTTTATATATGCACAATAAAGATTACGATTCGAAAAATATAGTATGGTCTAGCAAATGAAAATCAACCTAAATCACTATTCAGTATAATTAATGAAACATTTCTTTTCTTGAAATTTCAGCATAAAATGTTACATTTCCTTTAAATGTGTCCAAAGGATCATATGATCTGGAAAATAATCTAATTGTTTTAAATGCATCTCCTTAAATACTGTATTGACCAACTCAATATTAAATGAATGAGATGTTAAAATGAAACATAATAGTTATGTTATAATAGACTATCTTGCAAAGAGACCTCTTTTAGTATAGGGGTTGTAAAGTTCGACGATTTTTGTAGTCTTATATCACATACTGATTTTAGACAACCATTGAGGTCCATGAAGTACTGGATAGCTGTTTTGTTCTATTATGAGAGCCCTTAGCAGTGCCCATGCAGGATCCAACAGGGACCGAATCCAGAACCTTTAGATTTCTCAGTGAGTGATTAACGTCCAGATCGATGAATTGATATTTAACGACTTGAATTTCTAACTCGATTAAATTCATAATATCATGAGACTATCATTGCCATCTGTGATCTTTGTTTCACACCTGATATGAGATCGTCAATATGCACTACTGAAGATTCTTATATCATGACAAAATAACTTCCCATGTCCCCTGGTTCTCAATGATTGTCTAAAATCAGTCCATAGGGCAAAAACAGGAAAGACCTCTACGTAAATTTCTTCTAAATGCTATACAATAGCATATATATATATATATATATATATATATATATATATATATATATATATATATATATATTCATTTATGCATATACATACATTTTTTAATAGAAATCAGTTTTTAATTTTATTGTTAATACTGTCATTAATTGTTTATCGAGTAATTTCATTGTATGTCCAATTTATCTCTTTTTTATATTTACAGGATTTGGATGAAAAAATAATGAAGAATATTAGCACAGTTGCTGAACAAGCTGATCATATATTATACGGCTTAGTTTATAATGAAACAGTTTTCGATCATTTCAACATAACAAACCAACGTTTATTGTTAATTAGAAAAGAGTCTGAAGATACTGAGGTAATTTTATGCATAAATTATCTGTCATTTTAAGCCGAATTTATGGGCAATAATTTCAACTATATTATCATTAAGACATTCTGATGCATTTAATACTCCAGTAAATAGTAAAATATAGTTAGGACAAAGCTTTAATTAAATCAATAAAGACACAGTTGATGGAAAGATATCTTTTATGGATGAATAAAGATTGAAAGCTTCCGAAAACTATTGTAGTAAGTTTAGGACAAGTTCCACTTATAATACCGACTCGATACTTTATCGACCAGTTGATTATAAATTTCCAACTATTTTATCGTTCATTATTAATCATGAAGCATCCATCTACCATTTTAACTCAGTGTAGAGTCTTCAGGTAGGTCAAATCTTTGAGGATAAGTCATGTCATTGTATTTTAAATATTGAGAGTTAGACGGATAAATTTGAAGCATTAACGCTTTCTGGTCACAACAGGTGATTTTATTGTAATATGATATTCTCAGAGACTGCTTTATAAAGAATGATTGTAAAGACAATCTCATATCAAACCTCATTTTAATTACATAAACGTTTATAATCAATTTCAGTGATAATTCAAGTGAAAGAAAAATTTACTAACTTTAGAGTATTATACGGTGAATAACAATGAAGTTTGATAGAAAAGTAAATGTATGATTAAAATGGAATCCTTGTTTGTATAAAGTAATCAAAGTAGAGATAACGCAACAACAACATTACATTACGATTATCTGTAGTCTGTTCTAAACAAATAGGAAATATCACCTGACAAGTGTCTTAAAGTATAATCTTATTATTACATATAGGGTTATCACTCAGTACCCGAACATACAAACGTGTGATGCTTGGAGGGATCCGTACTGAGCTTAAATCTCACTACGAATGATAATATGACTGCTAGTATATTGAACATATTTTGGATCTTACTCATACTCCATTGTACAATTATATTAAGTAAAATTATAGGTAATAAATGAATTTCATTTGGTATTTAGCGGGAAACCGTAAATGTTAAGTTTTACCTAAGAGTAAAGAAAAAAATGTTTAGATTAAAATATAAATGACCTAGTTTTATTTCACTTTTTGTAATTCACTTTTGGGAAATTAATTTATAAAATGTCTTTATCTGTTAGACTGCAATGAAAGAAAATAGGTACTGGGTTTTTTATTTTTCTGTCTAACTTTGATATTGATTTTTCATTTTTTTTATAGCACTTTACTAATAGTTTTTAATCGGAATCGTCCATTATTGCAATTATCTTAGGGAATTTAATCTATTTTCTTTTTTTTGGGGTAAATGATAAATCGAATCATACAAATAAACATATTTGTTTGAGATCATGAATCAATTAATATTAGAACACCATTGAAAACCCAAAAGCACTGGACGGCTGTTCCGTCCTAATATGTGACTTCTCTCAGCAGTGCTCACCCACGATCCCATCCATGAAGTTTGAACCCAGTACCTCCAGTCTTGCACACGAACGCTTAACCTCTAGACCACTGATATGGCATCCAACGGTGTGAATGTCTAACCTCAACCAATCCACGAAATTGCGTGACCATCATCCGTGTCGGATAGAGACAGGTATCTACCTCAGTATCACCATAGAACAAAACGACCGTCCAGTGCTTCCAGGTTTTCAATGGTGGTCTATCATCGATCGGTTCATGATTTTAATCAAAAAATTAATGATCTCCACAACCCCTATACTAATAGATTCAGTCTGTAGTGTAAGTTCAATTTAAATGCAATAAACATTACAAATCACTTATACTAATAAGAACATATTTCATATTTTCATTTTTTATTTTAGCCATTTCGTTTAATTTATTCAGATGATTGGAATATTGAATCATTAGGTTCTTATTTATTTATTGAATCTTTACCAATTGTTAATGAATTCCAATTTGGTGAATTAACTTACTTTGATAGTGCTACAATCAAATATGATACATATTTATTTCTGATACAATCTGATTTTGAATTTTCATTAGCATTAGATAATTATCGAAATGCTTGTAAACTATTTAGAAAAGAGGTATGTGAAATAGTTTTTTTTGTTATTTAGTTTCTAAATTTATATATATATATATATATTCAATGTTTTAGGAAGTTCGTAATGCCAAATTTTTAATTCTAATCACTGACTAACTTTAATACCTAAAGAATTTTGTTGCTTTACACAAATGTTGACTTACATTATAGTGTCTTTTGAATTTAAACTATTTCTGTAAATTTTAGGTTTATTTGTTCCCAAAAGTAATGTCAAACATTGATCGTTAAGGAAAGAACAATAATGTGTTTATTTAAGTATATGTATGTTGCGACGGATGCTTGGTTGATCTACTTAATTACTTAATTTAATGATTTGACCAATCTTAACATCTCCTTAAGGAACCTAAACTCGAATTTCAACTCGATAAATTCTAGAAAATAAAATCGTTTACTGATTGACGAAGTATGAGAATAGCTCAACTGATTCATTCCGATAAAAAGTATTCAATCCAAGCAGTACGACTGAGTTACGAATCAGAAAACAAATGAATAGTTAAGGTAACAAAGCAATCAAATATCCTTCACTGTTGTTTGACGTAATTGTAAAAGAATTGTAAAAAAGAATGTTTTAGAATTTATTTTTATAGTTTTATGATTAGGATTTAAATGTATATACTTTATTAAAGTAGTATGCTTCACAGGTTGTCAAAAATTAAATCCAACAGTTTTCACTGATGAACAGTCAATTGTTTATGCAGGCTCAAGTTGTCAACTTCTAGTAATGACTATTTGATGTATAAATGAAAATAGATCATAACTGATTGGTTTCATGCTTTGAAGATCAGATTTGTATTTATATAGTTTATCTTCAGAACATTGAACTAATTAAAATCTTGATACAAGTAATTTAACAGCAGTTAAAATGTTTAAATGATTTTTTTCTTACTCTGACTTTTCTTTTAGATACGTTGCTACTTTGTTGATACAGCAAATGAAATTAACTTGAAATTTAGTCAGCAACACGGTGTTCATGTTGGTTATGGTTATCCACGATTTCAATTAGTGGCTACTTCCAAAAAGAGGTCACGAATTCGTTATCGTCTGAAAGGACCTAAATTTGAATTTGGACGGAAAGGATTTAATAATCGTGATCTGTTGAATATGATCGAATCGCAAGAAATTATCAATTTTTTTGACCAACTCCTACAGCGTAAATTATCACCTTACTATATAAGTGAAATTGTGCCGGAGTATGATGAAAATGTCAGTGATGATTATGAAAATATGGGACATATTCCCTTGTCCAGTATGATTAAAACACCACCGATGAAATTAAAATTTATACATAAAGTTGTTGGGGCAACATTCAAAACATTAGTAAAGAATCCTGAATGGACATCTGTTGTTTATTTTAGTGAGTCATATGTTTATCCCAAATATGATTACAATATATATCGGAAAATTGAATAGCTCTCAGAAACCTTATAATCAATAAGATGTTATTCACTGAAACATAAAACTGAAGGATACAATCGTCATGAGAATTATTCTAAGAAAAATGATACATTTAATCGTTTTTAATGCCGTTTAAACATTGCCCTCGAATATTAATTCCTGAGTTTTGAAAAAGATGAATACTGATTGTTATTGAGGTGTATTGCGTTAACGAAAACAGATAATCTAGTTTGCTTAGTTTTATTCTCATATGAATGCTCTAAAAATAATATATAATATTTTACTCTGCATTATCAAGCTAAACTTCATTCATATCAATTAGAGGATTGCGTCGTGCGAATCGATAAATTTGGCTTGTAGATAACTTCCAAATCCCTTAGTAATGTATACCGTAGATCGTTGACATTTTTATATTAGAGACCACTAGTGGTTTTTATTAGTTATTGGTTAGCTGTAAGTATACCTAATTTGCGTGAAATATTAACTTCAGTAGAATAGTTTGTCTACATTTCACCAATTGCCCACTGAGCATTCTAAGGAAAAATCTAAAAATGTCTTAAATCGAATCAAAAGTATTTCTTAGTTTGAGATTTCAATTGTTTCACAGAACTTATACTGATTTATTGTAAGTGAAGATATCAAAAACAGAAAAATTAAGTGTTTTCTCATTTATTACATTCCTTCAAAGTTAATTCATTAGAATCATTTTTATGCGTCAATTCAGTGATATTTTAGTTTTACTCGATATATAATATCCATATTGGATCCTCCTTATCCATGTAAGCATTGAGATTGAATGAATATACTTGTAGTAATATTTCGGTACGTGTTACACTTTATTAATTTAAGATTTGTCATTTTAATAGGATATTTGGTTTTGTGAATAAGATTCTGCTCACAGTCTATCTCTCTTCGGTCCGATAGAATTAAATATGCCATTTTATCATCTTTGAATGACAAAACATATTAGATACCTCTTGTTATTGTCAAAAAACACACCTTAAACGGAATAAAATTGAGTTGATGACTTCATTCTCGTAACTTAGGTCAGATGTTTACTAAATAAAACAATTTAATAGATATTCTGTAGTAACTCTCAGGTGAAAATTCATTCTTTTTATGTCTAAGTTAAATTAATCTTCCTAAATAATTAATTATAAGTTGACATATTACTTAAAAGCTCTAATTTACCGGGCAATTAATCTACTGATGGCATCCAGCTTAGACAAAGTTTTATTAATACAGCTACAAGTTTCGCAAAACTTAGTTCTTTTGATATTATTCTATTTTTAGCAGCCAAATGGTGCATGGGATGTAATCGAACAATTCATGAAGAATTTACAAAATTATCACAGTATTATCAAGAACTTCATCGAACCGATTTATTGTTTGGTTATTCATATTATGATTTAAATGATTATGAAGAATTAACAGCTACTAAAATGCCTCGAATTAAAATATTTCCTAAACAATCAAATGAACAAATCGATTATGAAGGTAAAGAACACTTTGATAATATAAAAGAATTCATTGAAACTGTTGAGCGTACAGTCAAATAGTGGTAAGTGTTTATGTATGTTTGGTAATTTAAGCTATTAAAACACGAAGTTCAGCGAAGGGATCTCTTTTCAACGAATTTATTATCAAGCTGTACAATCGTATATATATGAAAATTTTGTTTTTGTAAAAGTCATGGATACGTTAATGTACAATGAAGTAAGAATAACCTATTAACTAAGAACCACTTCGATCAGCTAATACTCCTGAAAAGAAATAAGGATTTAATCCTAAGTAAACCTGACAAAGGAGCTGGTGTAGTACTACTTGACCGCCAAGAATATTTGGATAAAATGAAGTTAACTCTAGAGAATGGTACTAAATTCTCCAAACCTAAAGGAGAAGTCGATAAAACATTGCAAATCGAAAAACAGCTAACAGATGTTGTTAAAAATCTTAAGAATAAGGGGATAATAACCCAAGATCTATATAATCACATACGTCCCATGGGTTCAATCATCCCGCGCTTATATGGACTACCGAAAGTACATAAGCCGGGTTTACCGTTACGATCTATTTTGGACATGTCGAGTTCACCGTACCACCGAATCGCTAAATGGTTAGCGGAAAAATTGGAGCCGGTTAGAAGGCAAGTATCTAAATATTCTATTCATGATACTTTTCAATTTATTGGTCGTATTAAGGACATTAATACTTCCGAAAAACACATGTTCTCTCTTGACGTTAACTCTTTGTTCACTAGCGTACCTTTAACCGAAACGATATGTTATATATGTGAGTATATAGATTCTAACAACATAGATCTAGGTTTACTGACTAAACACTTGAAAGAACTATTGTTACGCTGTACTTTTAATGTCCAATTCAGTTTCAATAATGAAATATATAGACAAATGGATGGGATCGCAATGGGGTCTTCATTGGGTCCAATTTTAGCAGACTGTTTCATGGCAAAAGTAGAAAACGACCAACTCCGTTCAATGATCAATCGATTTCACCTATACGTGAGATACATGGACGACACGTTTGCCGTTTGTGACAATATTATTGATTTAGATGATATTTTACACACTTTTAACTCACTCCACCCTTTCATAGACTTCACGTTAGAAAGGGAACGAGACCAATCAATTCCTTTTCTCGATGTACGTCTGATGAGAAGGAGTAATGGTTCTTTAAAAAGATCCGTCTATAGAAAACAAACATGGAATGGCCAGCTAGCCAACTTCTATAGCTGGGTCCCGTTAAGTAGAAAGAGAAACCTAATCCATTCTTTATGTTATCGAATACACCAGATATGCAGTACGGAATGCATTAACGAAGAACTCGCATTCCTCAAGAAAACCTTGACGGAAAACGGTTACCCCGAAACGGTTCATAGAAAAGAATATGACAAGAAATCTAGTTGTTCCGTTCCGAAGAAAAACCTTTATATAAGTCTGGAATTTAAAGGTGATCGAACATCAGATGTGATCGAAAATCGTCTAACAACAACGATTAGAAGAACATTTAATGCGGCTCAACTGCGAATAACCTTCATTAGTAGGAACTTATTTTCTGCATCCATAAAAGATAAGCTTCCGCGTCTGGTTGCCTCTATGTGCATCTACCAGTTCACCTGCTCTTGTGGAGCAAGGTACATTGGCCGTAGCCAGCGCTCGCTTTCAACTCGGATACGGGAACATATTCCAGCTTGGTTCTATAAGGGTGAAAGGAAAGCAGTTAGGAGTTCTATACTTGAACTATGCGTACAAAAGAAGTACGTTTTATCGTTATCGTTACCTTGGCCTTAATTATTTTGATTATCCTATTATTATTATTATTATTATTATTATTATTATTATTATTATTATTATTACTGAATTCCCCCCTTTACTTATGTCTTATATTCTCATTGTTTTTATTCGTAAATACTCATCATATTACCTTATTTATTTTTACACCTCTATGACCTTTAATTATTATAAAAACATTTTAATCATCATATTATATTCACTAAGTCTATTGTTATCATTCGTATTACGTAATCTAATATTATAACCTTTTTTATTACGTCATGGTTAACTGTGTTCACATTTCCTCACGGAATTAGTACTTTTACAAAAACAAAATTTTCATATATATACGATTGTACAGCTTGATAACAGATTCGTTGAAAAGAGATCCCTTCGCTGAACTTCGTGTTTTAATTTTAATGTTTAAATGGGAATTATCTGTCAATTGAAGCTATCTTCAGTTTAATGATGAATTCTGGTGAAAATTTAAATAGGTAATTAGATCTTGTTTAATATTTTTGCATGAATTCAATTAACTCATTCATTTTTATTACGATGTTTTTATTCTGTGTTCTTTAGAGAAAAAAGTGATTACAAACTAATGTTAGGTCAATAGTACTTCAACAACTGATTAGCTTGTAATCTTGTTCAATACATTTCTTATACTTATGAACGGAATAATTAATGTTTAACAACTAAGTAGAACTAGGAATTTTATACTAAAATCAATATTTTATGGGGCGAGACCATAATTTGTGAATGACCTTTGAACGAACCTTAAGAAAGTTCACTCAATCAGAAAACTGTAGGTAGAGGGGATACGCTTCTTTAACATGATTTAAAGACTTCTCGAGATTAGAAAGAGGCTCTACAGTTTTGAAGTTGTAATGCGTACGATACAGGAACTCATACATACACCTCCATAATAGTCAACTTCTGGAATCATGATGGGGTTGCAAAAATTCTTTTAGTCTCGATCATATTGGTCCTATATTATTTGTATGCACTCCAGCGTTGGGGTCTTCGGAGTTCCGCTTGTGAATGATGACATGATACACGTAACCAAGTCTATGTAAGCATCGATATGCTCTCCAGTCATCTGTATACATTATGGTTCCCGGCTACACGTACTTTCGTATAATTGGTATTATGGTTGTAGATTATCGGTTTCTAAAGCGCTGGAAGTGTACTTTTTGGGATGATCTATCCTATATACCAAGGACCTGTTACGCATATTTATGGAAACGCTACTTACCCAATCTTCTATAACACCTCGTGCCCTATTGAGTTTGTTTTCTAACAACCGTTCCGTCTATTTCTGTGATTCTCCCACCTCCTTCAAACGATTTATACAAGCTTGACATTTTTATTGCACATATATTTCGACAATATTCATACCATTGAACTGCTGAAGCTTCAGTAACATCTGCAAAGGTTGCAGTCAGTGTTAATGGTACTTTTATTATCCAGTCTGCAACAATCACCATAATGTGTCTTAGTCTCAATCGGGATTGAGAGAAAAAAGTTCTCGTTCTAGCAGACTTTCTCCTCCAACATATATTACATAGGAATACAACATCATCACGATAGTCTGCACAAGGTTCAGAAGTCATTTAACTACCGCAATTACAAATAAAGGAACTTCTTAGTAATCTCATTTGTTGTAGCCGCTCAATTATACCATACGTGAGCATTAGATACTGAAATAGGCGCTGTAACCTTGAGGCCGCTCACTAGTTTTGATTGGCTCATCCATAAATTATAGTCTCTCTGTAATCAAGAATTTAATAGAAGTATGCTTAAATATGTGTATATTAATAAGTGATAACTGTAAGCAGTTGTATTGTGATAATAGTTTTCAATTTATTCACTGTATTCTATGGCTTTTTTACCAATAAAGCCGTAGATTCTTCGTGATCTTGTTATGAATACTGAAACAAACAGTTGTACAACCGAAAATTATCTTCAATCACATAAACGTTCTGAATACAATTTAGAAAATTGACTTCATTTAAAAAGTTATGCATACATTACATTTTTTTGTACAAGAAAGAATATATTTTTCTGGAAAAATTTTCATGTCATCTTTATTTGATAATGATTATGTTAATTTCATACTTCTTTCCAATTCTTCTATAACCTTATTTCTGATAATAAAAAGAAACTTTTCAAAATGAATGTTCTATGAACAACTTTGTTTTTGATTAAATGCAGTACATTTCATAAATTGATTTTTAGTGTTATTTTTGAGTTAAATATGAAAATAAATATTTAATAGGAAAGATGTTTATTACTTATATTTGATATTTGGTGCGTATTGCCTCGATTTTGCTGATATTGCCCCATTGCATGGGCAAGTGGCTGTCAGGACTCAGTAGCTAAGTGAATAATGAGATGGCGTTTGAAACGAACGGTACTGGGTCCGAGTTTTGGAGTGAATATCAACTCTGGGACTCAGGTACATCTGACTGACGAGTCCCAAGTAGGACGAAACATACGTCCCGAATTCCACCGCTGTCCACCATCCATCTTTGCTTATAACGCTTGCGACATAATTTTAGCTTGTTAAAATCATGAACATAATGTTTTTCGGAAGATGATATCCAGTGACACAATATTCTCAACATATAACGTTTGCTCATGGTATTGAATTATTAACATAATCTCTTGATTAAATTGTCATCCAGTGAAAGCGCAACTAGTAGGTAGAATAGTCAAATAATGCATTTAATATAAACTATTAATGAAACGTAACTATGATTGGATACGGGTGTTTTTTAATAATTTAAGTAATAGGACACTACCCGGTCATATAAGAATTTAGTACAGTTCACGCTACACTTCTCTTTCGTTTTCTCCAAACCTAATATATACAAAGTCTACCTCTGGAGTTGCTAATAAACCGTGTTATTCAACTCAACTTTTAACCCTAAACTAGATGAGAAACCCCACAGACTTAGCAAGATAAGTAAGTAGTGGGATTTAAATATTTTCATCTATATTTATAGCATCAAAACTGCGTTACTTTTTAATGATGGGATTTTAAAAAAATTTATGATTACTTAGCAAATTATTTTAATCATAGGACTTTATATTGATCTATGGAAAACTATTTCCAAGGCATTTAGAAGTTTATAATGACTACAACAGATGTTATAATGCTTATTTTGTGTTCAGAAACAATAGTTACATTCTCATACGCTGAATGTTTTACAACTATGTGGAACGTAAGTAAGATTGCTTATGCTTTTACTGTTTTTTAACTT